TCGAGGAGTGGTGTACCATCGTGTACATAGCACTACCTCCATCACAAGCAAAAACTGATGCATGAGAAACAGCAAATGCCATACAGCAGTCCATGCGCAAACGCAGCCCTGATCCTCACCCCACCGCTGCAACTCCTAAAAGGAAGCACTACGGCTGCTTCATCAACTCGCCTGAACCCTTGTTAGGGATGCATACACGGGACGACAATGCACCGCGAAACGCTCCCATTTCGACGCTTCATCATAAAGGGAATGTATTAGATATCATTGCCCCCTGCCACGACGGTAATCAAAACACCACTAAACACGTCATCCCCCTCTTACGCACACTCCGACTACTCCAGGATTCTGCCAATCGCCCAACACGTCCACATCCAGCCTTGGCTCAGCACATAAGCACTAGGTCGGGCCTACATGCTGCTCCTTCCTTGGCCATAATAAACACCAAGCCAGGGGTTTGCGCCACAGCACTTGGGCTCCTACATGTGCGAGTGTGAACCTCACAGGGCTCCGCCAGTGATACTCAGGCCAGCAATATCCGCCCAGCATCCCTCAACCGTATCAACTTCAGGCAGATTATACATTAACCACAGAAGGAGCGAAGGAGCGAGCTTCATGGCTGTGAGCTTGGTTTGCTTGGTTTGCTTGGGTCGTCTGGGCTTCATGGTCAACGCATTGTCACGTAGCGTGCCAGGATGTCCAGCAAACAACAGTTACAATAAAAGGAAGCTATAACTATATGAAAAATTCAGTTCTGGCGTGTAAGAACTCAGTTGTGGCATACATTTTGTTTATTTACGTTTATAGCTATGTTTTATGTATTCCTATAAGTCTACTTCTGGGCCTGAGGCTGTGTCCCAGGACGGTTGCGCTTTCATGGCACCGGCAACTGTGGTGGCGCCTTGCAAGTTCATTTCAGTTATCTTGAATATAAGAAATAAACATCACAGTACTAGAGAAGCAGTTTGTTTGAGGAAGTACATGAAAGCGGTACCAACTAACTCCAGGGTGGGGCTGACTTCGAGTCAGGGCCCTCCGGGCGTCTTGCGTTCTACACCATATACACGGCGTACAACACATTCGTGCCACACATTTTCGCGACAAGTAAATAATTTTCTCCATAGAGCTTTTTCCACTGTGACACACTTCGTGGCCCCAAACGAAAGGTGTGGCGCGAACCTTTCGTATCAGTACGGTACTTTACCGTGTCGCTAGGCTAGCGCGCCACAAGCGCAAGCCATGGACCAGGAGGCCCAGGAGGCCCAGCTGATTGTCCATCTTTCAGAAGCATTTAATAAGGACGAGGTGTGGCAGCTGGCCGCTGCAGAAGCATTGAGCAAGGCCACGAATCTGGAACGTGTGCTAATTCGCGGTAGCACAGCGGCCAAACAGCTGAAGCTCGTGGATGTGCTTATCCGTAAAAGTAGGTCATGCACTGGGAGCTGAGAAGGCTTGATTGGTGTGTCGGGAGGCTCTGCGTCGCTGGCTGAGTGGGAGGGTTCTCGTGCCTGAAGCTTGAAACAACTCGTAATCTACACGGGTCCCCCGACCGCTCCCATGTCCTGCAGCCTCGGCGGCTGGCCTCGGTGCGGGGAGCGCGGCTGGAGCCGGTGAGTTGGTTGTGCTAGCCCAGGCTTGACCTGAGCTAAGACTCCGGCTCTAGGGTCCCGCGACGGTGTAGTACGGAAGTGTTTGAGCTATCGTGAACAGCGCTGCTGCTGGTGATCATTTCAAGAGGCTGTAGGGTGAGCAACCGCACATTTGTAGTTCTGAGTTCGGAGTGCACCAGCCCCATGTGAAGCATTCCGGCATGTTGCGATTGATCCCCGAT